TGACTTTGTGGTGAGATTAACGAGCCTGACCCCAAGATCAGCTTCTGTGTTCAAAATCCAGGTCCTCCCAGGGAGCAGGGCTCCAATGTGGCTGTTGCACAAAAAGAGCAGCAGATGTTTATAAGAAAAAACATAAGCAACATTTACAAGTGAAGACATTGCATTCACAGATGCATGAAGTCCCAAATTTAGCAGACAAGGCAGAACCCCACACATGGCAGAAGAGAGCTATAAAAGTTGTCAGCGAGTGATATTCATCTTGATTTAGAAACAACTTGTTCCTACCATGTAACGTAAATGCAATGGAAAACATGCTTGTCTTTCAGCTGAAAGTGTAGTATGCACATTCGCCAGAGGAACTAAGAAAAGTGCTGGCAGGGATTCACTTTCTTACTTTTTTTCGCACCTGACTGACAGTATCAGATTTTCTTCCTCTCTTTCTTATTCTATGGTTCAACAGCTATCAGCTTCCAGCAAGTTAAGCACCAGGAGTTAAGAGTTAAGCACCATTATTTTTGGTTCCTGGTTTGATTAGAGTGATGCAAGAAAGACAACATACCACTAAGGTTTCTACACTCTAAGAATGGCATTACTCAGGGAAGCAGGCACACTCTGAGATGCTGCCTTTCCAGGGCTTGGTATCTATCTACTAGCAAAGGACATGCAGAATAAGGGTAAAAAAAGCAATTTACTAACTTCATGCAGTTATTTTACATCTGTTCTCAAGTCTCGAGGTGTATGGGGATTAGGGTAATTAAAAGGAAATGTTGATCAATCACCTCTTCCCACCTCCTTTCTTTGGTGAAAGGAATGACGTTTCAAGAACGCTTTTGTCCAGTGTATCGAAGCAGCTCAAGCAGCATTTACAGACATTCCCACACACACTTGAAACCTAAAAGAGCAGTCCTGTAACTCATCTTTGTGTGCTCAGACATTCAGTGAATACAGACACAAAGATCAGTCAATCCAAAACCAAAAGGAAAAAGAAGCTAGTATTTACAAAAAATACCTTCACAGCAGTTTTGCTCCACAGCTTAGCTGGCAGGAAGGGGTAACTGAGAAATGAGATATACTCTCCACTATCTGGGTTGGCTTTGCCTTCACACAACTCTATTTCAGAAGAGAATATCCTGTGTTGGAAGGAACCCACAAGGATGATTGAAGTTTTGCTGCTGACTAGTGTCCCATGCCCCCCCCCCCCCACTAGTGTAACCATGCCCAGTTGCCTTGGCCTGGAACACAGCCTCCTTCACAACACCCTGAAGGTACTCTACTTCACTGGTCTTAGCCCACAGAGCGTTCATTGTAACCATGTATTTTTTTTTTAAGCTTAGTCTATGGGGACAGTCAGGTCTTGCTTAGGGATACAAATTAATCCAGTAAACTACAAAAGGAAGAGCCCACTTCATGATCATACCCCATCCTCATCACAATCCATTCCTGAGGAAGCTGAAAGTTCATCTCTCCCATCCCACCCCTGCTGAAGGCTCCTCAACCCCCCCAGTCCCACTACTTTGAGGGCCTCCAGCCCTCCTTCAAATCCACCCCTCACATTCACACGGAGTACCCTGGGTCCCCAGCAAACCCCTCTGTGCCACAGCCTCTGCAGCCTCCCCCACTTCTCTCGCACTGGGGCTAAAACCAATTGCCCTGCAACTTGTGGACCCCAACATCTAAGTACTGCTTCAGGGATGCCACTTGCTACTTAAAGCCTCACAGGGCCCATTCTCAGTCCTTGGGCTCCTGTCAGGAAAATTAAACTATCACCCCACTTCTGACAGCAGCACAACAGTGGCTTCTTTCTGTTCAGACTGAATTCACCACAGCTCTAGCTCTTAGTCCTCACAGAGTGATAAAGCTTTTCCCATGAACTCACACTTTTATAAATTCAACCTGGTTTATTCCAAATATCACATAAATTAAACACATTTCTCATGAATATTGCAAATACACATGAAATGAACACTGCAATTTTTAAAAAAAGTTTTGGCTTTGTTTATGCAACAAGAAGTGCCAAATGTGGTTAGAACATGAACTTCTCCTGTATTTACTAGATACAAAAAGGTGCAGATTAATAATTTATATTTATACATATGTACACACTCCATTTCATTTCTAGCTTTAAAACAGTAAAAAATGGTTTCAAGTTTATCTACATTAAACATACTCATTTACATCTGGTCAGAAGCCCCAGATAAGAGTTGATACAATCATTTCACAACTGCAAAATTAAGGCGCTACCAAAATACCAGTTCCACTAGTGTAAAATGTAACAGGAATAGAGTGTACAGCTTTCTATTTATCAATTTAAAAGTGGACTGGAGAACAAGGAAAAAGGAGCAGTAAGAAACATGACAAGTTCTACAGGTTAGAAGTACAAAGAGATCTTGATGACTATCAAATGAACATATTAAAATACAGTAGATAAAAGGCCTCAGTGGCAAACAATTAGTATGCTTCTGAAAGACAAAAAAGGTTAAAATATATATATAATTTTGTAGCTTGAAATTTTACAGGTGAACAACAGGTGTAGAGGTAGAGGGATTTTTTTTTCTTTTTGGCCTCTTTACGATGTATAAAGAAGGGCCACATTCACCACAGTGAAAAGACTCATCATATATCCCAGCATCCTTGCTTGGACAGCAAGCAAGAAAAGTGTAATGAGCTAGAAAGGCAACGAATCCTGTCTATCTCTTCCAGGAGCTCAGCTCCAATGCTTCCACATGTACCCTGGCAACAAGTTACACCTAAGCACAGACTGGCTGTAACATGGACATTTCCTCTAGAGAGCAACGAGACAGCTTTTCCCGTGAGGTACTACTGGATGCCGTAGATATTATATGGCAGAGGTGATTTGGTAAAAATGAAACTGGTACTTTCCTTTAGAAAGCAAGTACCACAGGGCAGTGGTGATTTTATTTATTTATTAAAGCTCTGCTATTTGATCAGCATTCAATGTTTTGGAAGAAATGTCAGCTTTGGGCTGCTAATATGATTATTTGCATCCATACACAGACAATTCTTTTGTTGTTATCATTTATCCAAAACATCAGTCACTGAAATATTCACAAACCGCTTTAAACCTTGACTAAAAAAAAATCCCTCTACAGTTCAGCCTTCTTTTCAATAACAATCACTCCATTAACTATATAGGCCTTCATGAACACAGTAATGTCACTTCCCATGTAGAATGTCTTTACATATTACAAAACAGCAGTAAACAACCTCTCATTTCATAGGGTTTTCTGTCAGAAGTACCTCAAAGTAGATATCTTGAAAAAAATCACCCTTGCAGAGAAGAATATTAACATTAACATTAACATTTACTGAGGCGAAGCCAAGAAGACACTAACTAGCACCTTGATATTTTTTTCTTAAATGCACTCCTATTTGTAAAATTAAGCACATATAAGATCAGGGACCAGCAATATACAAATACCATCAGCATCCTCTTCCAGCTAAACTAGTAATACTCAAAACTAGGCCAGACACACAAACGAGCAAGATGAGTGAGTCTCGAAGAAATACACAGCATGGAAAGGAATGGCAAGAACAGGAAGCTGAACAGAAAGGATTGCAAGATCAAATACAGTCCATCTTCTGGTCCGAGAATTAGTTTGTGAAATCACTCTTCAGTAGCTCAGCTGACAGTGGGCTGAAGACCTACTGACTTCTGACATTTCCTCCCCAAGTATACAACAATTCCTTTAAACCTCAGTGAATTTCCCTTCATCATCTTCAACTCCTGGAGAAAATGCATTCAAGTTGAATTTTGTGTATTTTGGTGGTGGTAGCAGAACCTGCAGAAGGCTACTGTAAAGGTTATGACATCATTGGTTGTACATTATGCACTTCGCAATTCAGAGAATAYACTTACAAACTACTTAAATAGAAAAGGCGTGTTCAAGGTAGAGGCAGTTACAGTACATTCAGGGTATGTTACAGAAACCATTTGTGGTAGCCATTTGCTGAAAGGAAAAAACCTCTGAATTTTTGTTTCCCAGACCACACAGGTTATAACTACAATACCCAAAAAGAGCAGGTAATATATCCTAATAACTGCATTTTAATGCAGTCTTCTTCCAGAATTCATGTACAAAGTGGAAAAAAAAACTTTAAATACCTCTTCATTGACAAAAAAGGAGAAAATAACTAAAAAAGAAAACCAGGCACTTTGACCATTTAGGTAAGCAGCCATTTCTTCTTACCAGACTTCTGGACAGGAACAAGTCTTTACATTGGTCTTGCTATGCTTGCAGCACATGGAGATTCAAGTCAACTTTTTTTTCCTGTTGGTAGTATCAGTTCTAGTTATGGGAAATTATGCCAATTGAATTGGTAACACTGAGTTATTTCATTGGCAGTTGAGCAAACATTGATCATTTGACTGACAAGCGATCAATTTAATAGCTATCAAAGTTAGATATTAACAAAACAATACATAAAAAAAATAATCAAAAAGACAAATGAAGGTTAACACCTGACTGAAGCTTGCATTGAGACTTGCCTTTATAGACTCGGTTTGTGACTCCTTTCACGGTGTTACTGTGGACTGATTTCCATCACATACAGCAACTGGTACTAAACTACAATACTTTCGGGTTTGAAACATGTTCAGTAGAGACCACCCCAACATAAGGGGAGGTTGGCACGACTCTGCATGAAGGAGGGAGATGGAAATCTCCCCACCTTTTATCCTCACTGGTTCCACTCACAGAGCAGGTGTTCAGAGTAAACTGCAGCATGCCTCCCTCGTACTTGGGGTGAAATCATTATTTCACAGCAGTGTTTATCATACTTTAGGAACCGGCTTGGTTTGAATTTAGCAGTAAGACTGGCTAGGATTACTTTGGGTTTTCTCTTCAAAGTAACCAAAGTACATCTTTCCAAACATTTCATATATACTCATTCTGCTACAACATGTAAATCACAAAGGAGGGATTACCTAAGGCTACCAAATACTGTACTCATTCAGTAGCTATTATTCTTTTAGATAAATATCCTCAGATGCCTTGACTACAAACGGCTTAACCTGTTTTTTCCTCAGACTGTTATTTGCTGAAGAGAGAGAGATGTGGGTGTATGACAGACTGCCTTCTGTCTGTTGGTTAGTCCTTGTGCATACTTCTGCTGGGCAGTGTAACTCCACTTCTGTCCACTACCTTCAAGAAAGTCCAGGAAACACCTCTTCAATCCATGTCCAGTTTCCTCTTCCTACTGAGTGAAAATCCAGATCACATGCAGGCCAATGGCACTACTCTAGAACTTAACTCTCTTGCAGGCTAGAAACATCAACTCTATCCTAGTACTTTGAAGCAATTATCCACATCCATCAGCTACATTCTAAACGTAGCATAGCTTTGTAGAGGCTCAGTTTTCACCAGGACAACAGGAGAGTGTGCAAGGTTTGGAGAATACCCAGATAACAAACCGATGCAATCGATGGATGCAGGACGCAGTCAGAAAGGGCTGTTCCTTCTTGAAGGAATTTTTTAAAAATACAAAAAAACAATCCCTCCCCCTTTGCCCTCCCCCAGAACAATCTGTCATGAGATGTTTTTCAGTGCCCACTCACAACACAGTTCCACGTTATCTGGGTCTTTTGCGAGTCACAAATATCAACACGCGTCTGATGGCAATGAGACGGTCTTTAAGGGAGGTCATAGCCAGTATTGCCAGCTGAGCTCGGTTTTCCAGAGGCAACACGGCCAAGAGCCACCAGTACCAGGCAGGACCACTGGGGTTGCTCTGCAAAGGATGGAAAAACATGCATTATGTATTCACCAGMATTATGTATTCCCATAAAGGAGTATCACCTTCCTTCTCACCTTCTATTTACTCAGAAAGTCACTACAAAATAAGCAACAACTAAACACCTAAATGTAGGTGTTCTCTTTATCTGCATACACCATTAAGCCTTATCTCTTCAGCTACCAAATCACGCAGACATATTGTTTACCATGCTTCATGCTAACTAACCAAAATTGGGTGAGAGTCCAGAATATACAAAACCGCAGCAAAAATCTGTCAGACAACAGTCTCATGTAAAAATTCTGTTTAAAATAAGGCTGCATAAGTAGGCAGGTTTTATTACCTGTGGCTCTGGTTCTTTCCCTGGCATGGATCCAAAATGATTGAGAATTTGCGCTTTCATATTGTCTTTAAGAGAAGTAAACCAGGCAACAGCTTGATCATAAACTGAATCATGAAGGCGGACAAGTTCTTCATATTCTGGTCCTTCAACCTTATTGTTGAAAGAAGGGAGATGGAACAAAACAGGTTTGATACCATGGAGTCCATATGCGTCCCCAGAAGCAAACGAAGCAAAATAATGCAGTGACTACTACAGCTGTTCAAGTGTCCTTATCTAAACCAACTGTGACTAAGTCTCAGATTTCAAACCTGTGATGCTGGAGTCTTTTTACCCTCCCCTAGGTGTTCTGAAGTGACATTTCCTGGAGCAGTTAACTGCCTCACACTAGTACCCGTTCCTAAATGCTGGCAAAACAGAAGAAATCCTGGAACATCCTATTTATCATCTCAAACCCACAGCCTTGAATCCCTGCCACAGAGTGACCTCTGGATAGTGGTAGATCATCTGACAAAACAAAAACACTACTGCCACCGAGCACAGAGACCGGAGGAGCTATGGCACTTAAGAGACCAGTACTGTTTTAGAGAAGTGTTAAGGCCATGGTAGGACAGCCAAGGAAAAGGAGGAGGGTAGACACCTGAGCAGGCAGGAAGCAGGGAAAGTAATGCTTTCCCAATACCAGAAACAGCCAGGAAGAAACATCTTCACTGAAGCAGTGTTTTAGTTGCACAGGCCTACTATTAGCAATTAGGGAAAAAAAGCATAAGCAAAACCCACCATAAATGGGTGATTTTGGGGGGTTTTGATTTTGGATTTTTGTTTTGAGTTGCTTGGATTTTTTCCCCTTTAACGTGCACATCAATGGTGTGATTTCTGCTATGCTACTCACTCAGATACACATCTGATCTAGCTGCTCCAGATGCCTTTCACAGTTGAGGAGAAGCAGCTCTAGAGAGAAATTAATCCCATCTTAAGATAGGTATCTCAGAGCAGATAAAACAGGCATCTTTGGACTGAGATTTTCCACTATCACATATATCATGAATGTCGGGCACTGAACAGACACCAGCCTCCCATGTGAGACAAGGTAAACCTCACTCTAATTATGGAGAGGTGGGTCTCTAGCACCATCTGCAAACAATGCCTGTGTACCTGAGTTCCACCACTCTTCACTAGGGATTTAAAAAGAGCAGAGCCCTCACTCTGAGCAGACTGCCTATTCCAGCCTTTCACAAGTGGAGGCACTTCATGAGCTCAACCCTTCGTGCCCTGGCAAACAACCGCATCATCCTGCACAGGTTAGAAAAGCACTACTAAGGTTTTGCAGACTTTCACTTCAAATAGAGAACTGTGTGACCAAACTGACTTCATCAACTGGCAGGAGATTACTGCTAAGCTCAATGTTAATAGCTACCGAGGTTTTATAGACACAGTCTGAAGATGATCCAGAAAGGTCCAGAATGCCCAAAAATTCAGCCTTTGGCCAACACCCATCACAAGCACTTCACCTGATGAATGTGCTCGAAGAGGAGTTGTTTTTACAGGCTACTCCCCTCTCTGCACTTCTCTGCTGTCAGTCAGCTCTAAGAATGCTTGTACAGGGCATGGTCAACTACATGTAACTAAGAACTCATTTTAAGAGCAGACTCCCACATTTATTTGAGGACCTGTTCTGTAAATGAGAACATTATGAAGTGTGGAGGAACTTGGAGGACATTATGAAGTGTGCCAACTGTCTGTCCAGTTCAAAAGAACAGTCAGTTCTCTACCAATAGGAGCATGTGCTTTTAGTAGGCTTTTAATTCTGTACCAGCTCTAAAATGTTACTCTGACGTCACCTAAACACCATGACCTCAGCATCCTAGAAGCTACTTAGAGATCCATGAAGGGAGTGTAACACTTTAAGCAGAGATAATTATAAGGGAGAAAGGAAGAAAGGGAAAGAAGATACAAAGTTTGTTCCATGGTTTTAAAAGTAGAGCTTTAGTGTGTTTGTAATGATATTGGCTTTAAAATAATGCACAGCTAGCTTGAAATGCAACAAGGAAAGGCTATTTAAGTGAATCCAGCAATACATGGGTATGAATAACTTTGCACCATAGATCACCTTTTTATCTTCAAGATACTCGATGTTTGCTGTGTTATATCCATCTCGCTGGCCATGGCTTAAGACCCTAAAACGACGGACACCAACTGTATCAACAACTGAGCGTCCATCAGGAAAAAACTTTACGTCCCTGATCTCTAATATACAGCCATGATCTGCAAATCTGAAATGACAGAAGGGCATAAAAGTGGAAGTCATCAACAAGTGTTTATAGACATCAGGACAAATACTGGGCCTAATTCACCATTTTTTATTTGAAAGAGGATTCTGCTTTGGTGACAATACATTTCTGCTTATTCCCCTAAGCCACACAACCCCCTCCCTTTCTGCCTTCCCTCCGAGGACCTGGGCAGCAGCATTTTCAGGACATGTTTGCAGGGTGAGAGGGCTGGAAAGGGACAGAAACTAAATGAAGCATGTTTCATGCTGGGAGTTGCCAGCTGCTGTTGGCAAATTCATCTGGTTTGCGAAGAAAACAAGATGGATAAAGATACCATAAGGAAATCCAGAAACTGAGGAACAAATGCATGGCTGTGAGGACTAGCCCCCTACTCCAAGGTGTAAGCAGAACACTGCAGGCTTTAGAAGAAAAGGGCTTCTACATAGCAAGTTTTTTTTTGCTTGCATTTGTTTCTTTAAAAAAAAAAAGTCAAAGCAAACCCAAAATACCCTCTTCCCAAAAGCACATTTGTATCCATTATATTTAAAGTAGGCACAGGTTTTAATCACACTCTGGAAATAGACATGCAATAAACTTTTACTTTATCAAGCTTACTTAACTCCACCTTTGAGCTGCAGTGATTTCACTAGAGAGGGTGATTGCACAATGATTGATCACCACAATAAATTTGCAGGTCTACATCTCAGCTTACTGCTAAGCAGAGTAAAGCACTGAACCTAGTCTCATCTCAAGATACCGAATTCCAGCAGGATCTGATAAATTCTTTATCAGAGAATATCTTACATTGGCTATATCTTACAATGGAGTGACAAAGAAAGTATTCCTGTTTCTGCTCTACCAAAAATCATGGGTTTGGAAGGGGTGGGGGGGAAGCTCACCACTGTGAGCAACTGTTCTTTCCCAGCCACCGTACAGGAAAAAAATCAGGAAGAGCAGGAGGAGCAGAGCTGCACAAAGCTAAGTCCTGCTGCTCTACCAGTAGGATTGATTAAAAAAAGCAAGTTTGTTAGTTTATTATGGCAATGTAACACTAGACGCTAATTAAACAGCTACGTAACAATTGTTTTTAATTAATGATTTTAGTGACATTCATACTGAATCTGAAAATTAATACAGAAGTGATGATTTTTTGTTGTTGTTCTTTGAGAAGTTACTTTTGGGCAGAAAGTGACCTCAAAGAGATAAAAAAGCACCTGGAGACAGGCATAAAAGGTGCTGACAACATTAGGAACTTCTATTGTTTTACCAATTTTAAGTCAGAATGGTGAAATATAACAGAGGAGGGTAATGAACTAAACATGCTTTGTCACTGTGTTTTTCAAGGGAGGTTTGTATCCATGTCTCAGCAGATGAGGCAAAACAAGTTTCCCCACTTCTTGTATTCCCAAGTTGATTTCGCAATTTTGAATAAACAGAAGAACTTCTTTACTTGTGTAAGAAGCTGCAACAGCCTGCTAGGTGTCTGCAGATGAAGGCACCCTGCGCTTTGATGGTAGATAACTTTAATTCGAGTTATAATGCTCAGAAAGTTTTATTATTTTAGTAACTCGAAACAGACAGGACTAGAAATCTAACTGCTGCATTTTAAAATACCCTTCATGATGTTATCGAACAAACCAATGACTATGTAGGTATTGTAACACCTTGGCCCTTTTGTGTTATTATACCTGACTCCAAGTAAGTTTGGCTCTYCCACAAGCCGGAATGGATGTAAGAAGCGTTATCACTGAAGTCCTAGGGTAATTCTGCCCTCACTYGCACAGGTATTCACTTCCAGAGAACTGGTCATAGGCCTGGAAGGGACTGCGGAGCATCAGCTGCTGCAGGAGTCTGCACTCCACTGAGTGCAGTACTGACAGCATGCCAAATGGCATTGCAGCACAGCCACAGCTGACTGGAAGCTGCAGCATCTCCTGTATTCTTTTACAGCTACCTTACTGTTCCGTCGGGGAGAAAAATAAAATATCCCCTCTCAAAAAACATGAAGTGGACAAGGAAAGCCTGCCAAGCCTCAGTAATAACTGTCCTACTCTCAGCTCCAGTGATGGTCACAGACAAAAATGGTGCTCCTGAGCATGCCTGTCTAATGTGCTCTTTAAAATTCCCATGCTTGTTATCCATTCTACTGCCTGCATCATGCCAATGTAAATTCTGAAATCAGCAACTATTGCATCTCATAAGGCAGACAGACCTCTCAAAACCACCTCGTGTTTCTCCCATGAGCATGGTTTCAAAACTCCACAATCTGTGAAGTATTTAAACTTGAAGGCTTTTGTAGAATCACCGAACAGTTTTGCATTGTAAGGGACCTTTAATCTAGTCAGTCTCTGCACAGGGAGCTAGAAACACATCAGTATCAGAATTCACAAAAATGAATGAAAGGTGTAATCATATAGAAAGACAAGGTAACCCACTCACTGGAGATAGTTTAGACATTGCAACACAGCAATAAAGACAAACATTCAAATTCAACGTCCAGCAGCAAAACAGACTTTTCAGCCAAGGGTATACTTTGTCTCATTAAAATGATACCACTCTTGCAGGAGAGCTATGGGAGGTCTGGATGTTTTGCCTTATTTTTGTTTGGTTTTTGTTTTTTTTTAACTGAGTAGATAGATGAGGCATCCTACACAGACAGTCAGCTTTCACTGGAACAAACAGGCCAGCAAGCTTTCCAAACACACAGCCAATTAAGTGCTATTTTTGGAGCCTGTACTAGCAGGATGAGTCGCATTCTTGCTATCATCCAACAGGGGAGTAATAAAATTACAGCTTTGTGTGAAAAGGAATGTTTATAAAGTTCAAAACTTAAGAAGTAAGCAACTTCAGTATTGGCTCATACARGACTGGAAGAAACCACAGTGGTTTGGGGAGACAAGTAYACTGTGATGCAGTATTCCACTAGAGTCACAACAGCCTCTGCAACAACAGAACTTCTCATCTCGTCTCCTTACCCTTTTAATTCATCAGCTAAGCACATGCCAAACTGCTTGGTACCAGTTTCCATGCATCTTCTTATCATTAGGCGATAACGAGGTTCAAAGACATGGAGTGGACAAGGGATGGTAGGAAAGGCCATGGTACATACGAAGATGGGAACRTCTTTATTCAAACTGTAAGAAAATTGTTAAAAAATAAATCACATTTTCTGGGTGCTGTTACATTTAGCATAAATCCTTAATACGAAACAAATGGTTTCCTTAGACATTTACAAAGATTGAGTCTATCTCTTCAAAGTTTGACATTTTCACAAGAAAAACAGTATTTCAGGACTCTTTCCATTAAAACATTAAGTAAACCAACCCTCTAATCTACTTCCATAGAGGAAAAAAGTCAAGAAATAGTCTGCTTCCCAAATAGATGCATACTGATATATCTAACTTYGRTACACATGGCAAGGTTTTGGTGATAACTGTTCACAGTAACAAAGTACTTAAGAACCAGCCATGTCCAAAGCAAGATGGCAGAGAATCCTCAAGCTCAGYAAAGCCCTTTGATTTCAAAGCAGCCTGCTAATCCACTTATTTTTTTCAGGATTAACTGCATGTTTCGTTTTACTTTTAAGTTGAGTTATAGCACAACATTCACAAGTCACTGACAAAATTGGATCCTTGAACTTCTCCTGACCTAAAGTATAACCCATTTATAATTTGAATTCTATTCCCAGAAAACCCTCTCTGTAACTTCTAAAGCTATTATGTTGTTTCAGAGGAAAAAGCAATTATCCTTATTTTAAGAATATTGTTGTGCCTCTACACCACCCAAGCACATTGTTGTTTATCTGCCACATATATGTCAAAAATACAAAACATCTGGCAGATTCAATTACAAATTCATTTCTTTGGTGCATTTTTAGAAGCAAATCAATCTTCTGCAGTAATTTAGATTGAAAAATACATTTCTGTAACAGCTGTCAGTAGTATAAAGAGAGCCTACTTTGACAATTCCTTCATTTCTTCCTCATAAACTTTCTTCCTTTCAGATAATTCCTCTGGCAAGTAACGGACTATCAGCTCTTCTGTAAGGACGGTCTTCTTRTAAGTTCTGCTTGCCAGAAACTACAAGGAAGAGTCAATCTTAAGTCTGATAACAAAAAGACAAGTAACATCTTTTCCTCCCAACCCGTTCTTCCCTAAGACCAAAGTGCACATGAGTTAGGATCATACTGATTCCTCACCMTTTTCAGCCTCCAGGCACCAAAATTCCACTTCAGCCTATGTGGTTCACCCCACTGTCTTTTAACTCTAGCCCCATACTCTTCTTTGGCAGACATTGTACTACCAGGAAGAAAAGGCAATTCCTCCCCACTTTGGCAGAAGATACATACTTGTTTTTCATCTACAGCTGTCAGCTTACTGGCAAGAAGTACTAAGTACAGGATATCTTACAACTGCTGAACCACAAGGGTTGACCAAGGAGTCACCATTCCTAGTTCACAACAGGCAGATACACAAACTGGAAATATGACATGAACAGGGCTATGGCTGAGGGTACCCAGGCATGACCTGATGTGATACTGGGAGCCTCCAATTCTTTAAGAACCAGCAAAACCATTTGTCTTCCACTGAATGCCAAAYATATTGAGTAAATGAGGTCTGTACACAGCTTGATGCTGCCAGTACTGTCCTGTTCTTGTTTCACAGAATAGTTTGGGTTGGAAGGGACCTTTAAATGCCTTATAGTCCAACCCCTTCAATGAGCAGGGACATCTTCAAATGAATCAGGTTGTTAAGAATCCCCCATCCAATCTGACCTTTAATGCTTCCAGGGATGGGGCATCTGCCAACTCCCYGGGCAACCTTTTCCAGTGTTTCATCACCCTCATGGTAAAAAATTTCTTACATCTAATCTCTTCTGATCAAATTAACTCTCCTTCACTAAAAGCATTATCCCTCTACTAAAACATCTGGCCCCATCTTTTTTATAAACCCCCTTGAAATACTGTAAGGCTGAGATCAGGTCTCTCCAGAGCCTTCTCTTCACATTGRACAACCACAACTTTCTCAGCCTTTCTTCATAGGACAGGTGCTCCAGCCCCAGACCATGTTCATGGCCCTCCTCTGGACTTGCACCCCTGTGCTGGGGACCAGAGCTGGATGCAGCACTCCAGGTAGGTCTCACTAGTGAGGAGCAGAAGGGCAGAATCACCTCCCTCACCCTGCTGGCCATGCTGCTTTTGATGCAGCTCACAAGCAGCGCACAGAAAATTTCCATCAAGATGCTTTCAGAAGTACACAACTTTGTGTACTTTTGTTAACTGGGGCAAGGACATACTTACTTCTGACAGCTTTTCTTTGCAGAGTGGGCAAAGTGGATTATGGTCAAGGCAACGCTCAAGGCATTTGAGGCAAAAGGTGTGTCCACAGGGTGTGGTAACAGGTTCGTAGAACAACCTTAACATGAAAACATGGAACAGAAGAACTAAGCTGCCAACAAAAACAATTTCCAATGTCTGGAGTGACTAGAACTAGCTCTTTCTTTCTTTCTTTCTTTCCTGTTTTTGTATAAGCCACAAGTGACAATATTATCTGAGGATACAAAAGAGGTTTTCACTTTTCGAAGTGATAAACAATGGAGAACACCATATACAATGGAGAAAACCACATCTGTAAAGATGTACAGTAGAGCAAAAAGGACAGAGCAATGATTTAGACATTCTGGCAAGTTTCTCTTCTTGCACCAAGAAAACGTTTTTTCAGAAGCTAGAGCCCTTCTTATGTTAATGCAGGTCAACAGTCATACCTCATGCAGAGGGAACACTCGAAGTCCGACGCATCCACCAGAGTTGTTGGTATTTCACTTGAAGTGTCAGTGGTGCTTTCAGGTAAAACATCTCCATCTAAGTAGTCAAGAAGGTTATAATAGTAAATATGTAGATATTACTGTRCTTTCAGATGTTCTTTACACTGTTTTTTTCATTAAAAACTTCATTTATGTCTTCTCTTTTCTGAAGTTTTGTTCCAACAAACACATTTCCCATCTAAGTTTTAGATTTTTTGGCAGGAGACCTTTCGGAGATGAGAAGACGATGTCTGTGGCCAGAGAATACACTTTAGAGCTGAATACCCATTATTTGCTTCTCCAAAAATGATCATGCTGTGGGTTTTTTCTAGTCTAGTTTTTAAAATACTCTGCTATTGCTTTCCCACCACCATCACCACCCCCACATCAGCCAGGCCAGATGTTTTAAAGTACATTAAGTCCAGAATTTAATTTGTTTACACACAGTCAAAATATCTCATCATTTATTACAGATTTCTTAGCAGGGGTMATTTTTCTTACAACTATAAAAAAAAGCTTACATTCTTCTAGACTAGACTGCTGTAGAAATCCCAAATTTTAGACAGCTTAAAGGACTACCGGAGTAGTTTGCACAAGCAAACACTGCTTTTACTAGCTCAGCAATCCATGAAGAGGCAAAACACTTCACTTAAAATTCTGCCCAGAATGATTTTTGCAAGTAGTTTATCCCTACATTTACCTGACTTCAAACTTCACAGCAGCATTATTAAAGCTCAAAAGCTATCAGCTCCAGCTTCTGTTGACACACRAGCAAATTCTACAACTTCTTGTACCATTTGCATCTTTGTGATGAGTTGCAACAGAGCCATGACTGCTGCCTCCCCATGCTTTTTATTAACCAAATTCCTGATCATTAAAAAGCTCAGCTTTTTATGTTAAGTTAAAACACTAGGATGCTTTGTTAAAGAGTAACTTATGTTCAGCAGCTGGTTTATCTTGAGCACAGACAGGATAGGTGGTGTGTGGCCTATAAAGAAAAACAGTGCTATCTTTAACCTACATCTCACATGTTAGCATTTAGTAATTGCAAGAACCTGGCTGCGTTAATTCTGCAAATAGTAACATAGCACTGGGACCTAGCACAGACCAGAAATTAGTGCTTATGGGTAAAACATGATCTCTGGCCTTCGCTGTGAAGATACAGGTGGGTCAGATTTCACAATCTGTTTGCTGAGTCTGCAGTTCACAGACAAGTACAGCGTTTTTTTCTCCACAGCAACGTGAGCAGAAACTCGCCATATACTGATCTTTTGTAGAGGTCACAGACAGACTATGGTACTTGGAAGACTTGTAATATTTTGGGGCAGAAGTCAAACTTGTAAAGGTGTAGGTCGGTTTTTTTTTTTCTCTAAGGGAAAAAAAGCACACCAGTACAGCAGCATTTTCACAACCTATGTTAATCAATTATGACACTGTTCAGTGAAATATTGCCTCCAGGGTTTTCAGCTTTGAGTACTAAAGCCACTCTGGAGGTCTTTGTTAGAAGCTTGAGAAGCATACAAATTGTAAGCACAATTCAAGTAACAGAAAACTGGGGGGGCCTTATTACCCTTTAAAAGGCTTCTTTGTTTGCTTGGAAAATTTCATGTAAAGTTGCATGTGACCATTTCTAATGCCAGTTAAAGATTAGTTTCCAGGCCTACTTCATCTTTCAATCATATAGAAAGACAATGAAGTTCAGATATAGCTGAGACCTAGAAAATGGAAACAGGACTAGCAACACAAAGACTAAACTGTGAGTGGATTACACAGACATTACATTGGAAATGGTCTGTTTGAGAAAGAAAAATAGTTTTCATTTGTTGAACTTAAACTGCTCTGGATTAAGGTAAATAGGTTATTAGAGCAGACACAGACACACCACAGAACTAACTATTATTCCAATTCCCATAGGGAATGTTTTATTGATAAAAAGGGAGAAGTAAAAAAGTTTACAGTTTTTCAGTACTTGCAAGAGAAAACACTTTTCTTATCCACCACACAAACCTTTTTTAGGAATCTTATTGGGGACATCCAAGCTCTGTAAATCCCTCATATCACTGGACAGCTTYCTTTTTAAGCCAACCCCAGGTAAACTGGAGAGAACAGCTCCCAAAGACTTCTTGTTGTCTTCAAAGTAGAGATCCAGAACATGATGGGAAACAGAAGAATCAGTGCTTCTGAATACATCAGATTCTTGGGACGGGGTTTTTGTTAACCTGAAAATCGTATCCTAAAAAAATAAGTTATATACAGCATGAGACAATTTTGTTTTGCTTTTTTTTTTTTGTATAGTTTCATCAGCAATAGACCCATGTTCCCACAATGAGCCTAGCAATGGAGAAAGGTCTGTACCTAAGGTCACTTCCCAGGTCAACAAAGTAAGGCCATGTCTCTGTCTACACCTCCTGTCTCTAGAAATTATGTTCCTGTCATACTAAAATCTTCAGTGGAAAAAAAAAAATACAACTGACTCCCACATGAAGGCACCACATTGTTTTCTGAAGAAAAACTATCACTCTCTTATTTTTTGAGGAAGYACATCCCAATAAGAGATCCAACACCAATGGAGAGAAGAGGCTTACCAAGAAAGCTAGTGCCTACACGGGTGCAGACAAATTACTGTCACACAGATCAGAAAGATCCATGTGCTAATTTTGGTATTTTTAGGTTGAACACWTTTTGCTTTACCTTTGAGGACCCAGCAACAGAGTTATCTTCCACAGCTGACTGTGTGTTTATGCTACTCAGAAACGCAGGTTTCAATCTTGTATGGGATGTTCGACTAGAGAAAGGTGCTGTTAGACTATCATGCACATTTTCAAAGGCTGGGAAAAACATCTCACACATTATCTAGTCAATTAGAAAGAGAAAAAAAAAAAGAAAAAGTAAGAATTACAACACAGATGTTTCTGTTTGTGTGAACACAGACGCACAAACTTCACAGCTTTGCAACATCCAGGACACCCTGCATTCCCCAACGCCCATGGGAAACCTGCATGGCAGTCCCCACAACGAGTCACRTTCCAAGATGCTCTTCTGGTGCCCACCTCCCTTACCAAAGGCTTCCTGTCCCCCCTCCCCCAGGGAGGCAGTCTGCTGTACCTTCTCCTGACCCTACCAATCTCCATTTTGACTCTCARAAGTCTTCAGACTACACTCTCCCATCAAAACCAGTTAACAGAGATGTGTTTAAACATTCCTTGTGCTCTTCATCCATTTCCTCCATTCTCAAGCAAATTTAACCTCTATCTTTAAGTTGTGTAGAGMCTGTTCCCCCTCTCACCAGTCCCCTATCTTGCCAAATACTCATTTCATTTTTATAAAAAGCTGCCTGTATGGATGGACACAGAGAACCTCATGATGGGCTGTTAGCACTAAATGTGTCTAACTTCCCATAAGGGACAAAATGCTACAAAGACTGCAGGATTTTTCCAGGACAGGGCAGCACACAGCTTCCTCTTCTCAATCCTCTGCCACTTCCCACATAAGTAATTTTCTGATGGGTACTAAAATTAGCAGCCTCAAGCCCACGCAGTGGAATTCACAAATACGTAATTCCTCTGGTTGAGGCATCAACCAAACCCAAGAGGGGCCTCACATAGAATAATGCTAAAAAGATTTATTAGAGAATCTACCAAATCAAACTATCCTTTGGTTGCTTACTATCACCTGAAATACCATGAGTTTTACTTGGCTGTGGGATTAAAAACAGCACAATGGCCAAGTAGTCAGTAAACACATTTTATACCTTTTGGGCTTCTTTCTTCATTGAGCTCCATTCAGGATTTAAGGCAACACAATAAAGAAACTCCTTCAATGCTTCCTCAGTCCTTTCCAATCCAGAAAGAGCTTTTGCTTTCACATAATGGCCCTGTTCACACAAAGGAAATGTACAAATCTAGAGATCATTTCTRAAGTGGCAGCAAGACACCAGAAAACAAACCTGAAAATTCATGTAATTCTGCAGGTGAAGAACAAGGTGCTTTTTGAGTAACAACCTCTTTGACACATGTGACTGAAAGAAATTCAGTCCCTTCTGGTGAAAAAAGATTCTCCAGGAACCCTCTGCTGCATCACCCCTTGCCAAAGGTATGGCTCATTTCCTGAGAGAAGAGCTGGGAATGAGATGGGGTATTCATTTTCCCAGGGACAAAGCCTATTACAYATCCCACTGTGCTTGGACACACCAGAGAAGAGTTTCACATACCAGAGCAAACTTAAAAAGTAATGCAGCTGCATAGAAAAGGCACTGGCACAGGGCAGGCTGGAMGTGGCAGCTGAGACAGTTCAGCATAGCCACTTCTGGGTATCTTACTAAGACACAGATAATTTTTCACCTGTTTTACTTGGCCCAAAACCATCAAGAATTTAGGGCAACTTACCAGTGCTTAACCAGAAGCCTTTTAGCCCATCCTACCTCTCCCATGTTCTGCAGTGGCACATCCATGTTACGCACAGTAGCCAGCTTGGGACTAAATACTACTTTACTTGTTATTAGTAGCAAGAGAGGAATGCCTTGCCTCTGAACTTTCCTGAGGATATCAAACTATAGTTCTAATCTGACTATGGAAATTAATGCCTTCACAGCAAAAAGAAACTAAGTGCACATTTAAACATTTCCCTCTTGCTTATCTGACAAGTGTGCCCTGCAAGTCCACCTCTGACCCACATGAACATCTCTAAGTGGTACTGAAAGTACAGCTTCATTCATCTAAGAGACTGGCTAGATAAGCAGATCCATTTTTCTTCCTTCATAATCATGAAAAAAGATCCAGTATCACATAATGTTCCTGAGCAGGTAACTCCCTCATTCTTACAATACTACCGTCCAAGCTRAGACCTGTTAAGATCGTTACCATTCCCCCGGATTTGGAAGAAAGAAGCTCATGCCAAAATCAAGTAGCAGGCACTGCATAGGCCAGGTTAATTAACACAATTATCATTTGGTGACCTGAACAAGAAGTCTCAGTACACATCAATTCTCTACAGGTAAGATACATTTTTATTTTCCTCAGTGCAGCAAGAAGGGAGATAGATACTGTCAGGCCTGGCCCTGACCTTACTTGAATGCTTGCACAGCCTCCATGAAACATTTTACACGCCTGCCATCACTGCCAGCATTACTTCACCACACTGGGGAGCCTACAAGCTTGTTTGGCCTTGTCCTTCAGGGCAGTAAGAGCAATGTCCTTATCTGACCTGCAAGGGAGGACTGAGCTGTCCATAGATAAAGTACCTAAAGATCCAACACCAGGAGTTAGGCCCAGGAACAAGAGGCCCTATACTTCTAAGACCATTGCTGCCACCTTCCTTTTCCTATTTTCACATACCCCTGGCAAGCATCGGACTGAAGGGTAAGATCCAGGTAGGATATCCTGCAGCAGACAGGAGGGCACCTCTCTCTACCCGCCATATAAAAACACAAACAGAYTTCTCCCTGCCTTAGAGAGTCCAAGACCTGGTTTTCATAGCAACTGAAAAGAAATCAATCTATCTATAGTTCCAATGACTACATCACACCCAGAATTTCACCAGTAACTCAGCAAGCCATTATATCTATTAGCAATAAGCCAATAGATACCAGTAGGTAAACACTAGCATCCTAGGAGTGACTCTCAGAATTAAGTTTAATTGTATATTGTGTTTGGTTTGGAGTTTTTTTTAACTACACAGCAAATGTTTGAGTTCACCTCTGCCACTGGATGACATGCTGCAATACACAAAACAAAGCAGATGCCCAGAACTCCTGGAGAACATGGATTCTGGATCTGCACAGATTATGTCCACGTCCTCACAAACATGAAAGCACAAGTGAAATACGTCTGAGACAACACTGGTTACGCCATGATGACAAATTTAATTTTCAATTAACATTCTTCAGAGATGTGATTAATGAAACCTTTATCCGCCTACAACTGACACACATCACATTTCCATGGATTCAGGCAAACAGACACTTGAAGAAAACATTTGAACGTGCGTAATTCATTTTTCTCCCTCTGCACAGAAACCCAGCTTATGCCACCGAGATGAGMTTCCTGACTTGATGAGAAATTAGCCAAGATAGAGAAGCAAACTGGATGCAGGGGAAGATTAGGAGCTGCCTTCCAACATGAAAGGTTTAATGGGTGACAAGACAGCATTCACAATTAGCTAACTTGTCAGACTTGGTGCTTCGGACAGCACCTCTCTGCTCGCCCTGCATCATTCCTGACTGGGAATGGAGCACAAGATGCACAGTCCTGCTTACAGAGGCAGGAGGCTGAGGCACTTATGCTGCACCTCCATAGTCTCCACAGGAAGAYGATCTGTGCCTAAAACCCTTCCCCAAGCTATGCTCTCTCCAGAAAGCACACAGAGGCTTTACCTGCTTAAACCTGTGCTGCAGTTTTGCTACTGATAGAAGCAGGACTGACTGCATGTGAAATCCTAGTGGGGTGAACTGCTGGACATCCAGTCCAGCCTCAAGCAACCAGTGGTAATGACAGGCACTGTGTGCTTCTTCCACTTCTCTCTCCTAACATAATTTCTAATACTTGTTTCAGATGGCACACTGCTCCTTCTAGCACCTTCTCTGTTTATGAAAAAAATCCCCACCCCGCTATGAAACACCATGATACAGGCAGACATAAGAGATATGAAATTTTAGGTTTAAAGAGCAAAGAAAAAWATCCTGAAATACAGTCTGTGGTGCTCCTCAGAAAGACATATTGGCCAGCAGGCTGTCAAAGCCACCTATTTCCTGGGGACACATCACCCTGTAGGGGCCTGCAGGGCCATCCTGCGCTGCCACTGATTCTGCGCCAAGCTGCAGCACGACATCCTTTAACGGATAACAGGCACCAGCATGAACAAAACCACACCACCGGGTGCCCACCATGAAAATCCCACCAGCTGGAAAGATTCTGAGGACCATCCAGACTTGTCCTATGAAGAACTTAGATATTTTTGACCCTGATAATGCCACGATGTTTTTCCAACAACACCCCCAGCAGCACTGCCCCAAGCACAGAGAAAAGCCCTGAGAAGAAGCAGTTTTCATTTTGGTCTTTACAAGAGGCAAGCACCGTACCGCGGGCCAGTGGGGTTTGTTTCGGCAGAGGATGTCTGCATCATGAAGAGCTTGCTGGTAGTTCTTCATCAACGTACAGAGTTCTGCCCGCTGTGCTATTAGTGAACACTTGCAAGGAGCTGGAAAACAAAAACAGTTGCAAGGAACTTCATTAAAATAAGTACTAGGCCATGTTAAATACAGTAACCGCATATCCAGCCATCATAACAATTAAAAAACACTAAACTTCACRCCCATTATATTTATATTCTCCTATAATGGAAAAAAAAGCAATTCCTTCATTCTTGCCTGCTTAAAATATATTCTTCTCACCCTGAGGCAACTTCCATGTTTTATCTAGCAGAACGTATTCCATATTCACAATCAGGATGCCACCTGCTCTTTCCCTCACCTTGCTTACAGGACGCTTCRGAAAGCAAAAAGAAAAAAGCTGCAAGTGTTTCTACCCTCAGTATGGAGAAAGAAATCAACAATATAGAACTTCAGCTAAAGCATTCCCAGAAGCCATTAAATAACAAAAATGCATGCAGCCTTTACACTTCACAGCCACTTGCCTTCCCCAGGGCAAGCAAACCTCTCATGATCACACACCTTGCCTCCACAAATTCATGAATCATTCAGCTCACACGAATTATGAACTTCCCAAGTATTATTATTCTGTCCTTTCCTTAGGTCTCTAGAATACATTTTGATTTTGTAGAACCACAGAAAACTGGCTGATCCATGTTCCGCCTGCCCACCAGGACCTCCAGCTCTTTCCTGCCCATCTGCTGTCTAGTCCAGCCCATCCTGTTGAACAGGGCTACTGTGCCCCAGGTACAGCTGCCTCTGCAGAAGTAGGCAAGGCTGGTCAGCCCATGTCCCAGGTAGTTGGTTTGAATGGCAGTCCTGCCCTCCAGCACATGAACCACTTTTCCCTCTCCCAGTTTCGTGTCACGGACAAACTCGCTGACAGTGCAYTCTTGCCTGTGATGGAAGCTGTTAATAAGGTGCTGAACTGCGTCAACCCCATTACAGACATCTGGGCAAGGCCACTGGTAGGCACCCATCCAGTAGCTCTCAAGCCATTAGCCACCACTTCATGCCCCTAATGGTTCAGTCAATGCTCCACCTCCCTGCCCACTTCTCCCCAAGAAGGACACTGCAGCAGGTGAAGGCAGCATCATTGCAAAACACGTGCTAAGTTTCAAATAATGCTCTGCTTTTGTTATTAGAACAGTTACCTCACCTTAGGTGATGAGATTTATAAGAGCTTTACTCCTAGKCACTCTTGACCTTCATATACTGGGGAAGGCCTCCACAAGGCTGGAAGCTGGCTGCTGGCAGCTAAGTACAGTAATCCTTTCCCAAGCATGAGCTGGTTAAAACAGACAGAACTGCTAATAAACTTTACAAAGGTTCCAAGGTGTGCTGAGAGACACAGCGTTTCTACAAATTTTAAACTTCACCTCCAAACTAAGTCTCTCAAGACTCTTCCACCAAGTGTCACCTTATGTACGTTCACACACAGAGCTCCTGTTTCCAGACCTCTCCTGCCCTCACTTCACTGTTTGGATCACACTTCAGGACAAACATCCTAAACATGCCCTCAGTAAGAACACACTGCCCATACAAAGCCCAGTTACAAATACATGTGCATGGACACAGAGTAAGCACAACTGCTGCAGGTGCCACCCCTCATTAATTTCAAGCACTTACCAGGAGGGATGGCCCAACATCACATCCTCCTCACACCTCCTCCCCTCCCTTGGGCTGATGCTACTGCTTGTGTGGCAAACCAGGCTCGCGTGGTTGCACTGAGAGCCAGAGTAAAGAATCAAYTGACTGAAAGTTAATTCAATAGAAACAAATAAATAGAAAGGTTTAAGAGGATCAGTTCCCCTTCAACTAGTTTACTCTACAGCCACACAAACTCAAGTGCCAGGACTTGGGGTGAGAAGGAAAGAAGSAGCAAGGAGTGCTGCCTTTTTTGGCTGTAGCATGGACTGATGCCAGATATACTAATTGCAGTGTGACGTATCAGGGCTGATGCTTCTCTGCTGGTCTCAGACAGTGACAATTAGAGACTACACTTTAAGAGCTCTGCAAAAGCTCACACAGTGGGGTTCTGTATGTTTTTGTTTGTGTGGTTTTGTCTTGGTTTGTTGTGGGTATTTTTAACTATTACACATGCAGACTACTGCAGTGATCCACAATCGTTATGTGATAGTTTTTAAAAGACTGCAAGTTAAACAAAACTGAAAGCAATTAATCTAATATCATCAAGGAAGTTTTTTGTTTCTATTAGCATATACTCAAATATGAAATTATTTAATTTAGCTGCATTTGAACAGTAAGGAATGCATACTTTGTGTTTCCATCTTTGTATCTGCTCTAGGGTACCCAGGTGCAGGATATGCTGGGGGGAGGGGGGGCAGAAGCACTGGGTGGGGTATTTCTGGCACCAGAGGGAAAGGAAGCAGTGTGAGAATGGGGGCAAAGCAAGTCATCTTCCTGCTTCTGTTCACTATTGCACATTTTAACCACACTGGTGCTTTCCAGCACTCTTCAGCACAGTTCACACATCCCATAGACCCAGAGAACAGCTTCATCAGCTCTTTCTCAGGAATTTGTCTTCAGAAGTTTTAAGCAAAAAAAAAAAAAAAAGCCAATGCAGAGCACAACGGTGTGGCAAAGCCTGCAGGTCCACCTGAAGCAAAGTCCAAAGGGTCTTCACAATATGAAAGGAAAATAAACCAACCTGGAGGCAAGCCAGAAAAAGCTACGTGTATTCAGGGCTTGTACCTCTTGCTCAGTGAGATTCAGTCAGAAAGCACAAGGTGTCGCCCATTTTAATGAGTAACTGGCAAGGAATGTTTAGTTAACTTAGAGAAAGGACAAAAAACCACAACAAACTAAATAGCTTTGCTAAAGACAAGGCTATTCAACGGGTCTTGTACAGGGGGATGAAGCACCAAGACCAGATGCCATAGCTGGAGTGGTGTCCAGCCACCTCCATTCAGGCTCACCTCACTCAAAGAGCAGCATGGCCTGAAATCTTGCTTGCACCCAACCAATGCACCCCTAATTCCCAGCYTCCTGCTGTCAGCAGGACTGTCCCAGGAGGGGACTGAAACCTCATTCTTTGTCAGTGGAACTGAGGCATCAGATGGCTGACTCCAACTTAGGGTCCAAATCGAAGTGGGACAAAAAAGTGAATATCCATCTGCAGCCTAAATAACTACAGGGTTTCYTGTAAAGAACCATGATACTGAGTTGTTCCATGCCACAGCAAATGCTGTAGTGAAAATTCTAAGTCACAGAAAGTGGATGGAGAGGGCTTGAGGTTATACAGCGTTTGCAAACGCTGCTAGATGCCAGTACACAGGCCAGGCAGGACAATGCCTTGAGCACACCAATCCAGTGGTCAGGAGGAAAGTGACCCAGCCCATGCCAGSTGGGTTGGGACGAGATGATCTTTAAGGTCTCTTCAAATTCTCAACATTTTGATTCTATAGTAACTGTCAAGTTTACTTGTAATTTAAAAAAAACAAAACAAAAGACCCCAAAGAAACAACCCTGAAAAAAAAATGTTGCACAATAATYGTAAGTTTGACTCTCTTTCTCTCTTCTGGAGAATAAGAGCAGAGAAAAAATTATTTTATTAAATGACTTATTATTTCAGGCCAAATTAAAAAAGAAAAGCTTAAAAAATGTCACCCTTTCCACAATACAAGCAGATGGCACTTCRTGAATCAACTCCTCCTGGGAATCTACAGCTGCACAGCAAAATTTATGTCCTTGTCAGCACCAGGGATGCAGTACTGAGGCTCCCAGGCTCTGCAGCTCCAGGCAGTTGGGACACAGAGATTTYCTCCAAGACGCAAGTCCTGGAAGTCTTCCCAAGCATCTCACTCCCCCCCATCCCCCAGCCATAATCCTACTGCAGCYGACAAACCCTGGCCCACACAGGGCCCACAGTGAAGACTGAAGTTTGGGTCTTTATCTCCTGGACTCTCCATTGGACTACCAAATATTGCCTACCCTGAGTGTGGTTGTCAGCTTGTATTTCTCTAAAATCATTAACTTTCCTCTGAGTTCATCTGCACGTTTGTTACATTATAATTTTACTTATGCAGAAGCTAACAACCTAAATTACTTCTCCAGATATGCCCAAATAGTCGAGGTTTTTAAAAAAATTATTCTGTTTAGTTCAGGAGGCTGGTAGAAGAACAGGCTCCCCAAAACCTCCTTGTGCCAGGAAGGCAGTTAGAGCAATCAAGAGAATTTGCCCAACTGACCACAGATGATCATAAAAGTTMTACTGTAATAAACTACACTGCAATTTCTTCCAGGAAATCAGCACACAAAGAAAAAACTCAGAGTTGCTATAACTCCCTATTTCTCTTTATTTGACAACTCCTCCTAGAAAAGCGCRTCTTATTCACACTTATTTCAATACTAAGCATTTTTCCTGAAGGCATGAGCAGAACTGAAAGTGTCATCACAAACACCTTTCAGTCTTGCTTGTAAGAGTCAGCCTGAACAGTACTTCAGCAGAAACTTCTCTCACATTTTAAAGAAACTTCTGCCTGGAGTGAAAAAGAACCTTGGCTTGTTTTGCTACATAATGCATTCAGTTCTGAACAATTCAGTATTGAAAGCCTTTAAATAAGCTTGAAAAATAATATGAAACATTAATTTTTATTTCAGTGAGAAATTAGAAAGTTTTTGTAATTAACTGAATAGCAAATTATAACTTCCAAACTTCATGTAGCATGACAAGTCCACAAACAAAAAATSGATGCACAGGGTTATTTGGTAGGGAAAGAGGAGGTGGCAAATGGATCGGTACAATTAAAATAATTAGCAGAAGTGGTAAAGACATTCAGAACATTAAAATAAAACTTCGTTTCACAGGAAAGATGAAAATCAGCTTCCCAAAACTAATTAAGGGGAACAAAGACCATAACTACATACTTGCAATGAGCAAGCCCACATTTTCTAAACCATCAGTCCATCTTAATTAAATTAACAACTGGACTTTTTAAAGTATATATATATATATATATATTAAGTATATATATATATATATATATATTTTGAATATCACAGCTTTTCCTCCTTGCATTTACATCAC